ACTAGTTTTGAGCAATCCTGAACTCGCTGCTAAAATCTCTCAACTCCACTTCTATAAGACCTGTTGCCAACAACAGCCGTGGGAGCTCAGAGCTGGAGCTGACACCACAGGCAAGTTAAAACGGTTTCAGGGCTAAAAACTTCACACTGACACGTTACCTGTGTGAGCCCACGCAGCGAAGCCTCCATCTCTGACCCAAGCTCGCCTCAAGCTTCCTTCTTGGGATGAAAGGGTTTGGGGATGTTCCTTGGCAATTCTGCCCGGCAGCATTTTGCCACAACAGCTTCGAACTCCCACTGTCCCTGAGACCCACGGGGACCAAGTGTCCTCAATCAATTCATCCTCATTGAGGCAAAGGCACCTGCCTCTCCCAGCATGGATGGGGGCAGAGGCAAAAGGGTGACTTTCTCGCATGTCTTCACTAGTTGCCTACAAGTGGCCTCAGGAACTTCTAAAATACACTCCACCCTCACGGTCACATCCCTGAGCTGTGGCCCCATTTCTGAGAGGACACCCTCCTGTCCCCTTTCTCTCTCCTAGATTCTCATACAACGTGTGATAGCTTCTCCCGCAACTTCCAGTCATATATGGACATGACTGGGACACTGGCTACACCAATCACCACCACCTTGCTCAGGACCAGACGATGCCCAGGTAGCCAACCGCCAACACAACTTATCCTTCATCCACACTTTTTGAGCTCCTGTTCTTCCTACCGGCTCCATGAGCAGGACACTTCCAGCCGATGACGGCACCAGGGGCGATGCAAAGTGCTGTGCCCAGAGGAAGGCAGGCCGGGCAGCGGGGTGAGGGACGGCAGCACGGGACGCAGAAGGCACAAGGTGACACGCTTGTGCCAGGACTGATGCACGAGTGCAGAAATGCCGCTGAACAAGCCCCATGCACAGCAACTATACAGCACGTGAATGCCTTCCTCTTCACTCCAGTGCCTCCCGAACGCTGAATGCCCCGTTACCCGGCGTTTGAGGCAGGGGACCACACGGGGGACCATACATAAATAGGAAGAGGTGGGAAAATACAAAAAAGCCTGTACCCTCCGTTCTTAGAGTTTTAGCATTCTTCTTTTGGTGTTCGGCATTTTCCTCCAAGCTCCAATGCCTGGCTTCACATCAGTTCACCAACCCCAGCTTTCATCTAAAACATTTATAATTACATGACATTCCAGCTACTATTGATGTGGAGAAGAACTGCAAGTCAGAATCTGAAATATTCATAATAGAGATGTTTAAAAAAAAGAAAAATACTTTGACATTTATTATTTTGGAAAGCTCTTGATTTCTGAGTGAGCCATGATTTTCAGACAACCTGACTCATCATTTCTGAATGCTTTGGTTTGGCAGCCCCGTATGTATTTAGTAATACAAACCCTAACTTGCAGCTCCCAATGAGAATCCTAATGGCATGATAAGACAGATTTCCATCTCATTCACGTCATTTCCAAATATCAGGAAATTTACTTAGCAGCAAGAGTTGTAAAAGCTGTGAAATGGTCTCCCCGGGGAGGAGCAGCAACCTCCTGACTACTCACTTGAACGGCTGAACAAACCGACCGAGAGCAGGCAGCAGCAAACAGCCCTTTACTTTCTGGCCAAAGGACAGAGCAGATGATCCCAGACACGTTTTCCTCTGTACTTCTCCTGGCTCTGGGCATTGCTAATCAAGTCCTCATAACAGAGCCACCGGAGCTCCTCTCACATCCAACTGGAGAAACAGCAACTTCTGCAGGAAGAGCATGCAGCTTCAAGGGAAAAATCCTGTTGTGAACCGTTTAGGACTTCACAAGGAGTAAGGAACCTGTGCCAGTCCTTGAGAATGCATTCAAAGCATCTCCATCCAGCAGTTGGAGTTGCATTGTTAACAGTAAAATCCCTTAGGCGCTTGGAGTCTGTGAGATTTATTTTCCATTGCCTATCAAGCGGCGATATTAAAAACGATGTCTTTGGTAGCACCGCCAGCCTGAGTAGATGCGAGATGATTTTCATCTATTCATTCTAGACCATCTGCTTCTCACCCTCAACTTTCAAAGGCCTTGAATGAGATGTAGGCCACTGAATTTTACAGCTAAATTTCAGGAACCTCTTTGAAAATGAAAGGATCACACAGAACACAAATTTAGAGACATCAAAGGGACCTCCCCTCTTCATGCGGGCACTAAAAGCAGTGCAAAGGGAACTAATTCTAATTTGCTCTATTGCCAGTGTTCACACTGGAGCAAATACAAGCATTTTGTGCTTTAAACCTTACAAACCCACGGCTGCCAGCTTAACATACTCCTGAAGCCAGGATCAAATGGACACACTAAAACCACCTTGCATCCACTCAGGCAAGCAGTGAAGCCAAAAGAGCTGGCAGGCTAGCTCATGGGAAAACTCTTTTCTTTTTTTGTATCCCTGCTTTGTTTTAAAAAAATCAGTATTTCTTTATGTATGAAACAGCAGCATAAACACTAATTCAGGTTTCTCAGAAGCAAAGCCATCGCACTGATACTTTTCACTGAGCCGATCTTCACCCATGCTGCCGACAGAGTCTGGAGAGGACGCGATCGAAACGGCAGCGCCTCGTACGAAGTATGGCAGAGTTCAGGGATCTCAGCCAAACGCAGCTCACTCAGGATCTGCTGACTCGAGTGGCTGAAATCCGCATGCAGACATGCGATTTCCAGGCAGGCAACAGCGGGGAAGAGTTGCCCTAAATTATGAAGCAAGATCCAGCTGAAATTATGAAAATTAAGGAAATTATAGCAGAATTGGCTCCTAGTGCACACACAGATCTGCACACACACTTCGCAATGAGGGCAAGGGGAAGGTGGAGTGACCCTGACGCTGCTTGAAATCCGTGAAAAGAGAAACTGGGAAAAAATTTCCCTTTGATATTTGATTCCTGCCCCATCAAGCCAACAAGCCCTGGGCCAAAGCAGGTACTGGCTGGCCAGGGCAGGAGCTTTTCCTGCTCCCCAGGATGTCCTTAGACACTGAGTTTTATCCTCCAGACATCTACAACCTTTCCAATTTACAGTTCACAAAAATCCTAACGGAGCACCAACAGAGATGCCTTAGTTTCCATTCCACAAGTTTTCAGGACACAGATCGGCAGGTATCGCTACACCAATATAAGTCTCCAAAAGTGAATATTCCACATTCTTCATACTGTCAGTGATGTAAGCAAAGCTGCTCGGATCCTGGGGCCATGGAGGTGGGATCACGTGTTGATGCTGAAAGCACACTATGGCACCAGCTTCTTCAGCAGAAATCAGTCCAGAAGGTCTCCAGAGCCCTGAGGAATTACTCAAGCAGTGGAACACTGGGATGATACCAACATGCTGGCAAAAAAAGCATATCCCTTACTGTTCTCCTGCTCTGATCTCCAGGGAAGGAGAGGTGGTTCATCATCCTCAACAGCGGTAGAGTCCAAAAGCTGTCAACACAAAATTCACAGGAGACTCCTTACAGAAGGTGCTACCACCCTTGGTGGCCAGGTGAGCTGCACTCTCCCCCTGACAAGCAAGCACTGCTGCTGTCATAACACTGGGAAACCAGGAGGAAACGGAGTGAGGAGTTGCCTAGGGTCATGTCTGCACCAGGCAGGTGAACACCATGCTCAGTTCACATGTGAATAATATGCCACAGTGGCCCCCTCATGCAAATGCATTCATCCCTGTACCATTTCTTCCTATATGGGAAAGCAATTCAAGCTAGCCTGCACAACTGGTTCTCGGATAATTTTTCTGGATATCTGCTCTTCTTTCTCACACTTACACCATGCAACCTGTCCTTCCTCACCTCTTGGCCCTCTTTGAAGGAGCTGGGTATCTACAGACGGACAAGAGGATGAGAGGCTGGAGGTGACATGGCCAGAATATACCAAAGGAAGGAGACCAGAGGATGAAGCTGTGCTTACCTGAAGGAAGAGATGCAGGAAAAAAGAGGTAGAACTGGTATAATACATAAGCACAAAGGCAAGAAGAGTCCAAAGTTAACTGAAGCTGTGCCTCACTGGTCAAACAGTTCAGCAGATGGTTTAGGGGTAGAACTAAAAGGGACTCAATCAAGTAGAGAAGGCTTGGGGGGGAAGGGGTGTCACTTCTACTTAGATTTCCATTTCAATTTCTTATTCTAACTTGATCTCGCAGCAGGCGAGCACATACATGCTGGTGGGTCTGTGCTGTAACAGGGGTTGTGCCTGTGCAATTTCCTTAACAAGGGCTTATGCTCCTCTGCGTCACCTCCATGGCTGCAGTGGTGCAAGGTCTGTGCAGAGGTGTCCCTCTCTGCCCTTCTCTCAAGTTAAAGCACTACACAAACACGATACAGTTTTGCAAGAGATCAGAAAACCTTCTCCTTATCCAGTAATCCACATCTGCCCAAGGAAGAGGCTATAAACCTGACATACAGTTTCAAGCCCAGCCAGGAGTGCAAAGGCTTGTCATTGGGCTACAGAAAAGTCATCCAACTTCCAGAAGAGCAGGGACAGCACAAAACCATCTCCTACAGTGTCTGGTTTCTACAGATCACACTGAAAAATTATCTCAGTCTGCCTGTCGCGGAGGCTTGAGTCTGCAACTGATAAGAAGTGCCCTGTGAGTAATAAGCCCTCAAATCCAAATCAAACCAAGTCACCCTGTTTCTTAGATAAGGTTTATTGTTCTCATGGGAGAAAGTTGTCCTTTTGTGTTAGCTGTTGGTCGACGAATCTGCTTTCAAGCAGTTTGGCAGCTCCGTGGCTCCCATCGCAATAATGCTACAAATAATTTAAGCTCCACCACTTTGGATCAAAATTTTAATGAGGCACTAAACCCACAAAAGGGGCTCTGTAGAGCATAATTAAATAGAATGGGCCTAAATAAACAGTAAGGTTTTACAAGTTACCTTATAGTTGAAAACAGCTGGGAGGCAAAGAAAGGAGCATTGAAGATGCGTGAAGTAAAAAGGCATTTCACAGAATGCAAACACTAAAACTTTTCATATCGCACAAACAGGGAAACGCTACAAGCACATGCCTTCTCTTTGATTTGGAAGAATCCGTGTGGGGCACAGGGCATTTGTTTTTATCCTTCTGCTAGTCAGCACAATGAAATATTTCACATGGAAACCCAAACAGTGGCAAAGAGAGCCATTTGTCCTTGGGAAAGAAATAAATACTGCAGAAACACATAAAGTCAGTAGGAACACCTGGTTCAGTCAGGCCACGGGATGCTGGATCACAGCTCCAGAACACCGGACAGTGCTGGGACTCCTCAAAATAGTCTTGCAAACAATCAGAATTGTAACAAGTCTGTTTGGCTCAGAGCTGCAAGACACTTGTTTCATGCTCACACCGACTCCTTGAATCCACTGCAAGCGGTGACATTCAGGCTGAACCAACGAGCTCAGCATTCAATTCTCTGTCTGCATCAGCTATCTACAATATCGTGGTTGTTCCACCCCTGTCAATATTTGATCCAAGAGCTGCATAAACCCTACAAACACAGGAAGGTTTCAATTTCACATTAAGGTAACGTTGACAGTGGTGCTGCTGTGTCGCATGAAGTCAGTGCACTGTTACTCCTTGAGAATGAAATTACTGGTAAACTTGGGTTTCATTTCATTTCCCCCCAGTCCGCTCAGCAGCCCTTCACCAGAGCCGTAGCTATTGCTGTAGTTCTGGGCTTGTGAATGAAAAGTTTCTAAATTCATCTTGGTTTATCATCGGAAGAATTCCTTCTTCAATGGGAGTCAGAATGGGCTCCTCTTTTATAAAATCTGGATCGAAGTTGCTCACGTCATCTTTGGATTTCTGTCAAACAGAAAAGACAAAAGACAGAGATGTCAAAAATACATATCATCTGCTTGACACTCGTGATGCGTCTTTCTTCTGGTCTTGAGTGCAATGACCCACCACTTCCATAACCCAGACTGAGCTTACCGAAAGCTCCTTCTAGGGCTGCACTGGGAGCAGCTGAGTGCCCCCACAGACCCTCCTAAACCCTTTTAGGGCCTGTGCAAGCCTCTGTCAGAGAAACCCCTCTCTGATTTCACTGACACCACCTCTGATGGGTTGCCTACCCGGACATGGCAGGGCAGGGCACCTTAATCAGTTCTTTTTCTCAAGTGTCAGCACAGGCCCAGCATTTAAAGCAGTTATCAGCCGTGTTTCCAGTCTGCTGACTCCACACAGTCCCTCCGTATCTGCAGAGTGTCTCAGCTGGGTTTTGGGGCGAGGAGGGGGTGTACGCTCCCATATGTTCAAGCCATTACACTTGTTCAATAAGGAATTACTGGGTCATAGGAAGACAAATGGCTTGACTCCAGGTAACGTTCCTTGCTGGGAAGAGGCAGGAGGAGTGGGCAGGATGAGGACTACTTACCCTGCCTTATATTTGGGGCAATGCAAAGGGCAGTGAGGTGCCTGATCTGCTGCAGTTGCTTTTACAAACCTGCATCTTTTGGCTGAGCTGCTTTTAAAAACCCAGCATGGAGGGGAAGAGTGAACTGTACAACATCAGGTGGCCAACCAGCAGCCAAGCCAAGAGCAGAGACCTCAACTCCTGGCTCCTGGGTCAGGGCATTTTGTGTCAAGGTTGCCCTTCCTCCACCCACCTCCCTTCCTGTCTCACACGAAGAAACCTGCTTAAAGAGCCCAGTGGAGGTAAAAAAAACCCAAAGGGATCCTCCTCCCACCCCTCCCTTCCTCCTCCTTCCCACATACAATTCGGGGCCTGAAGGGTGGCTCCATCTGACGCTGGTTCAGCCGGGCCCAGAGGGGTGCCGCAGAATCGCGCTCTCGCCACCCAGCCCTGGGCTGCCCAGCCGCATGTTGGGGTTCTTCGTCATGAACTGCAGAACAAAAAGGGCTGTTTGTTTCCTCTCATGGCACGGCTACGGGAGAGGGACCTATTAGCAGTTGCACAAAAGCTTGTCCTCAGCTTTCCTGTTGAACCCAGTTGCTGGCCAGACTTCTCAATTTCACTGTACTGGAACCGCATGCAAAGAACTTGACTCACGCTCTAAAGGAAGACGTCACGGTGTGTTTTAACTCAGTCCCTTTTCCTTTGGTCAAATCCTTGGTCACCACAATAAGAAAGTTGTATTGCATCGTTCGTAACATTATAAATGCTGCACAGTGGGTTCGGTGGTTATTTATTTCTGTATTAATCTCTCAGGGATACAAACTCTCTCTCGAATGCTGCTCACCAGCCAGCCAGGCGTTGGACTGGAGTCAGTCCTGAGCTGCGTCTTTTTCCTAAACCTCAGCCTGCTGAAGCGCAGCCAGAAGCCTACACTTTCCTTCCTGTCATCTCAGGAAACCGAGGAAAACGAGCAAGGTGCTGGTTTTTAGAGCCTCCCTAAGCAGATGAGAGCAGACAGGTGACCATCTCCCTCCCTCAACGGTGAAACTCCGAAAGAAGATTTCTTCTTGTAACATTTTCACTCTGCTACCAGTGAAAATAAATCTCAAACCTCAGCCAAAGTGCCCTGATTTGACAGGGAGGAATGAGAAAAGCCATGCATCACGCACACAGTGCGAGAGCCCTGGCAGGTGCCCTTTTGGTCCCGAAAAGAATGATGAAGTGTGAGTGCTGCAGATATTTCTTAAGGGGAAGGGAAATACTGGGGGAGGAGGGGAATCCTTTCCCCAGGCAGGAAGAGCTAGTTGGCTTGTTAATTTAGGATCATAGTTCTTAAAAAGTCAGTAAAAAACCAATCTTTCCCCTCCCCTCAAGTATTTCTAATTCATGAGAGAAATCAGGTTATGTTTAAATTGGGAAAATAGCCGCTTTTATTTGCCTATTGAAACAGCAGCATAAAGCGAGCTGCACTCGGGTGGAGGTGTCCAGACGATTTCCTCGAAGATGAAAGAGCGTTAGTTTAGCAAATAGCTGAACCAGCCAAACCAGACAATCGGTCACTGTTTCAGGAATGGCCAAGTCTGCTGCATCTCGGCAATGGGGAAATGAAAAGGGGAGGTGCAGCGAGACCCACTCCATTCTGACTGTAGGAGCTTTTCAGAACGTACAAATGCTCCTAGGACGAGCGGATAAAAGGTCTAGTCATTCCCTACCTAGAGAGGAGATGGGGAGAAGACAGACAACTGCAAGATTTATTTCAGTTGTGTCCCCAGTAGTCCATCCTGAGGGGACTTCAGAGTCAAAGGGGATGGGGCATCTGCAGCTGAGACCTTGCTGCAGGACCCCAGACTCTGCTGACATTAGCACAAACACTCCAGCTCCTGAGCCCTTCCAGGACATGTACTGCCATGGCACTCCCTATGGCAGAATTGTTTTCCACCGTTCCCCCCCAAAACACCAGGAGAAAGTGCAGTCACCACGAGGGGAGCAAATCCGGCAGCTGGGGTCTTCCCATGCTTCTCTGGACTCTTCAGCCCTCAGTTATTCAGCATGTCCAGGGTCAGGCTCAAGGACAAGCAGAACTTCTCCATCTCCCTAACCCTTTCAACCTGTTCTTCTCGCTTTCTACCAACAGAACTTCAACACAATTTGTTTCCCAAGAGACTGTCCCAAAACATCTGTGGGATACTGCTCCCCAGCAAAAGCTTGGTTTCCAAACAAGAAATGGGTCAAGCCAAAGTCTCTCACAGAGACCTTCAAGCTTTGCAAGTCTTGAACCAAACTCCCTTGGTTTGCAAAATGGGCCAGAAATCTCCTGGAAGCCCCATCTTTCTCTAGAAATTCCCTGCCCAGCTTCTTTGTCCCCACAGATGGGTATCCACACCTCAGTGGCTCTTATTTGCATTGCTGGAACACCTAGAAAGTTCAAACAAGATCAGAGCTCGCTGGTTTTGGGAGTGGTATAGACCAAAACAGTCCATAAAGACAAGACAAAAAGGAGAGAGGAGCTGGGAATAAGTCCCATGTCTCCTGACTCCTGACCTACCACCGCCTCCATTACACCAGGAAGCTTATGCTAAATGTGGAGAGGAAAAAACCCAACCTATAATGAAAGCCAATAGTCTCTGAAAAGGGCTGGTAACATGCTTTGCTTGGGTTCCCATTCATGCTCAACCATATAAGACCAAAACCTAAATTGGGCCGCCCAATCCCAGACCGACTCAGAGCCCTGGGATACAAAAGTGTGTTTACTTTCCTATTTGCTTGCTTTATTCCACATGATGCCAAAATGGCACCAAGTAAAGGCGTCCCAACGCAACAAGCTGAGAGCCAAGGTAAATGCATTCCTGGCTGCTTAAAACACCCGTTTTGTCAGGACAATGAGGATTAGGCAAGGGCCACCCTATGAGGTGGGCGGTTTTGAGCTCTGAAAAAGCAAAACGTAACATTCAAACCAAAATGACTGTTCAAATTCATCCCTGATCAACATACTGTACGCTGCGCCGAGACCTCGACTGCATCTGCACTTGGGAACCAGCACTGCAAACGTTGCCTTAGACGGGCATCATTCAGCACGTCAAACATGGTCCCGCACCCCGGCAGGTTACTCAGCCGGCGGATGCAGCCATTGCTGCTCTTCCCTTACAGAAAATCTCCTGGTGAATTTTAGAGGCGGCAGGTCCGTCGCAGACTGCTGAAGGTGGTGGCGAACGGGCTGAAAAGCAGATGTGCAAAAGGTGACTCCAGCAGAGACAGGACTGGTGTTTTTGCACTGGAACAGGGTTTCCTGCCTTACTGTAAGAAGTACATAAAATCAAAGGAGGAAATTTTTGAAGCCAGTTTCCACTAAAATGAATAACTAACCCTCTCAAACACTATTTGAATTCACCAGAAATTGTTGCACTGACAGAGCTGAAGTTTTGTGTTGTCCAGTACATCAGGAAAAAACAAAATACTATAATGACCTCTCAAAGGCTCAAGAGCCCATGAATCCTCCTCCTTCTCTCTCTCTGCCTTCGGCAGTACTGACGTTTCTCTGCTGCAACAGGGCAGCATCTGACAGCCCCTCTCACACCGCCTCTGCTATCTGATGGCACTTCCAGCAAAGCAAACAAAGAACTTGAGATTTCTGAGGAACTTAATTACAAGCTCAGCCTTCACCTGAAATAAGTAGCTGGAGCCCATACCCATGTCTCTGACCATACAGGAGGCATTTCTGCACAGACACTACCCTCTGCACACATACAGGCTGCGCAGGAGACAGGTTTTTGGAAGTGTAGCCCATCTGTCATCCGATCCCTTCAGCTGCACTCAGAAACAGCTGGAAAATGCCTTACAAAGTGTTGGCTGTTCCTGGCATCCATGGGACAGCCGGAGTTTGACTCTTGCTTCACAGGTTGGATAGCCCTAAATGTCCTGCCAAGTGCAATCCTCCAATGTTTTTGCAGATGACGAGAGATGATCAGCAGAAAGTTTTTTGTGGCAAAATGTCATCTCCTAATCTTTATTGAGTATCTCTAATTTTGCATGACAATCCAGAATCCAGCATGAATCTCAACCTCTGGCACACAGAGCTCAGTGAAGAAACACAGAGGAAAAACAATTCAGCAGTAACAACAAGGCAAACCAGAGATGTTCCTGAGCAAAAAGAAACATGTAATCACCCAAATCCAAGATTCCTCCCAACAGAACTAACAGTAAGACTGTCAGTCTTAAACCTGAATCAGGTCATCAGGCCCTGGCTCTGCGATCACATCCGACCATGAGGAATTATCCCATTCCCAGTGTAAAAACCACCTCGGGAGCATCTTCAGACTGGGTCCCTTTGGGCCACTCCAGTTTGCCGAGCAGCAAACTCGAGCAAGGCTCTCCCTGACCTCAGCTAACCCCTCAGCAGGATCGCGGCCAAAACCAGCAGCTGGAATGAACCAAAAGCATGACTCCACGAGATCATTTGAAAACATTTACTGAAAGAAAATGCAGCAAGTCATGACAAGAAATTAAAAGCTGGAGATTAGTCCATAGAGGGCCTGTGAAGTTACAAGGAAAAAATGCACACATAGCAGTGCCAAGCATAAGGAAAAATTTGTGTCAGCCCTGGGAGCTCAGCCCAGAGCAGGTGAGGGAGAGCAGGGGACCTACACCGCTCCTCCCCTCCTCCCAGTGCATGGCTCAGACTGTGCTGGGAAGGGCTCCAAGGTCTCCCAGTCTGCTGGGCAGGGCTGTACTGGACTTCTCTGGTGCTGCTCAGATGCAGCGTTGCAACTTCTGTCTCAAAAGCCTGAGTTTGCAAATCAGTCTAATGGCCTGGAAGTCAGTGAAGGGATGTGTGCACAAAACAGATGTTTCCAAGCATTCATTTCCCTGAATGTACAAGATCCCTTTCTCAATACTGGAATCCCTGATAGGTTTAGGTAACCCATGGATGTGCCATCTGCATCAGGATAATTAATTTCATGAGTAATATCACAGTGACTAGAGTATGTGAAATTGCGCCACGTTCTAGGAAAACACTGACAAGCCCAGACCCACAGAAGTAACGCACTTCAGGAAGAGGAATACAACTTCCTGCTTAGCCATTCCCTTCACATTGTCAGCCATCTGAACAAGGAAGAAATCCTTATTTCTTGTATTAAAGGAAGTCGTAGACACATCAGCTCCCATCAGGACTCTGTTGCCCTGGGCAGGGTGCATTTACCTTGTCAGAGAAAGCCCGTGCCCCCGAGCAGCTCGTCTTTCAAATGCGAGCGCACAGCAGAGACATCCTACAGGCCGGGAACAGAGACCCTGGGAAATTCATCACTTCATTTTGCCAGGAGCTCAAGGCCAGCCTGTCACAGACACCATGGCAGACCCTCAGCCTCACCTCCACTCCATCACAGCACGTGCCTCAGAGAACCCTTATTCAGGATTCTGCCCGTGCAATAAGTCAATGCCAAACTGCTGGAGGAAAGCAAGATTTCTATGTTCCTGGTATTAACATTTCCT